TCTCCACAGACACTTTCTTTTTGCCATGGAAATGAGCCAAAATGTGTTCTTTGAGAAGAGGGAAGAGTTCACTAGGGCGCCCAGCACAAACGCTGCATTCTGCAGTTATTGTTTGTGTGGAGAGATGGTGATCAAAGGAGCAGTAGGGGACATCTCAGGGACACCTCCCCGCACCCGCATTTCCCCACAGCCCCTCCTGCATAATGCATGAGCTTCGCCGGAATGTTATTGTTCACTCTGGCATTCACAGCTCCCAACTCTTTGGAAAACCAGTATTCATTGCCGCCCCGCATTTCCCCCTCCTTGAGGCTGAACCCTGAAACAGTCGCACTATTGTTCTGAGCTGCTGGTCAGGGGAGAAAGCTGCAGGTTCCTAAACTAACAAAGGGTGTTTGCAGGTGACCATGAAGCATTCCCTCTGTTTCCAGAGAGCATCAGCTGGCCCAGCTACTCGGACACTGGCCAGCACTGGAGGTCAGAACTACTTCCTCGGGGCCCCTGGGTGGCACCAGGAAGGAGCACAGGGTTTGGAACCAAGGAGATGACACTGATTCCTGGCTCTGCTACTTACTGGCTGCGTGACCGTCAGCAAATCTCTTTCCCTGGGCCTTCATGTACTCCCTCGTGAGTGGGGGCTGTGCAAGGGCTGCCATCGGTTTTTAATGGGTTCTGAGAACCAAAGAATTTGGAGCCTGAAGGGATGGCAGGGATCCTGCGACATATTAGAGGGATGCTAGGGAAGACAGCTATCAAGATGGTTGTGACCTCATCTACCCCAGAAAGTCACAAAAAATCAGCCAGAAGGCCATTGGCAATAGGAAAGGGGGAGCAGCAGCAGAGAGGTGCCTGCACTCAGGCAGCAAGGCAGAAGGAAGCCTCCCAGAGCGACCAGAAATGGGCTGAGACACATGCAGTCTTTGGGTGTCTGTATCAAGAAGCAGCAAGTGTGGAGAGCTCCCCCAAGACAGTACCAGGGCAGCTAGAAGTCTAGAGCAGGGACTTGGGAAGTGACCAGGAGCAATGCTGGCAGACCTAGGCTGAGGGACCCCTAAGTCTCTGGAGCTCTCTCCTGAAACACCATCCCTGGAGAGCCAATGTGTTGGAACTCAAAGGTTCAGGGACCTTAAATTGAAAACCAGGGCTCCTGGCATAGAAATACCCAGGGAAGTGGAGGGCAGACAAGTAACTGAGGTGACTCAGGCTGAGTCCAGATGGGACTGGCTTTCACACCCGAAAGCACAGCAGGGGGCAGAGCCCAGCCCTATTACTAAGAGTCATGGCAGCAGAGAGAAGCCAACAGACGAAGATGCTGATCTCTACAAAGAATTCTAATAGATCCAGAAGGTCCCCAAAATCCAGCTTGGAGAGCAGGAGTGACCCCAGAACTACATGAAAAGACTCAAAAGAAATGATGCATTTCCCACAACTATGTGACTCCTTGAAGGACTAAAGCACGAGACGAAAAAATTAAATAGAAACTAAACCAATGACTTAGAAGAGAAAGTGGCAAAACTTTATCTGAGCAACAGATTCCCCCCAAACTTGGATATATCAAAGAGAAATCAAAGACTCCACAAGACAGCAGGAAATAAAATAAAATCAAAAGACTGAAAAAAAAACCAAAAGAAAAGAAAATATAAGGTTGCCTGCTTTCAAAAATATCTCACATGGAAAATAGGTAAAGCAAAGATATTTTAAATCATTAGACCCAAATCCAACCTGGCTATGTTCAAGTGAGGAGGTGGGAGCTGAGCCCATTTTGAGAAGAGATACTCAAGTCTTTCCATCCTGACTGGGGCCACTGAGTGGCCTAGGAGCACACGGCCCCACTGATGCCCCCTCTCTTCTCTCCCCTCCCCCTCTCTCTTTCTCCCCCTTATCTCCTCACCCCCCACCCCATCTGTCTCTCTGTGCGTGTCTCTTTCTCTGTCTCTGTCTCTTCTGTTCTTTCCTGCCTTTTGCTGGAGACTGCCTATGGCTACAATCCTGTGAGCTTCCAAACTTCAGGAGAGTGAGCTGCCAGATGTTCTGGAGCTGAGATCTATGCCAGGATTTTCTAGAAATCAGGCAGTGGCAGTGAGCAACCAGGTCCCAAGCCACAGTCTGGCAGTAGAAGAGATTCGGACTCCGCTATTCCTCAGCGAGCCACACTTGGAAGTGAACTTGGGGAGTCGCTCTGTGGAGAGTGCACCAAGTCTGAGGGCTCCCTCCCCAGGATTGAGATGAAGGCTACAAAAGTGACAGAACTCCCTGAAAACTGATTCAAAGCCAACCCCCCAAAACCAGGCATGACATTGCAAGAAACCATTGCTTATTATTTCCTGGGTAATTGTTCTCACTGACTCTTCTTGGGTTTCTGGGATTTGGGGTGGTGTGAACTGAACAATTCTCCTCCTCCTCCCCAACCCCCATGCCGCAGATGTCTTGCACCCATTGACTAGCATCTCTTCTCATTGGTGGTCAGGTGCAGGTTCGAAGGGAGGGTCATTTGGGGCACAACTTGAGTTCCTTTACACTCCCTTCTAAGGGTTTTCATGAGTGTGGTGCCATCAGTGAATCAATAAAGGTTTATTAAGTACCTACTATGTGCCAGGAATTGTGCTAAACTCTCCCAAGGCAGTCCTTGCCTTCAAGGGAGCTTACAATCTAAGTAAACAAACTGCTGGAATCATCTTGTCTTATTTGAATTTCCTTTCCTTTAAACTTGAAGGTCTTTTTCCTCACTGCTTACAGAATCTGCTCATCACTAGAATCATTCAGTTTAAACTCTCCTGTCGTGGAGTTTGAAGCATCTTTCCCCTCCTGGAGGCAATCTGGATTCTTTCAACTGAAGCTTTGTTTTCTGTATTCAGACACAAGTTCTGGGGAATTTTCTTGCATTCCTTCCTGAATGAGGATTCTCCAGTTTTTGATTTCACGTTCTTCTGGGAGCCTTGTGATGCCTAAGCTGTGCCTGCATGCCCTGTTCTCAAGGGCAGTGGTTTTAGTTTGTAGAGAGAACTGACATTCTTGGAACTGGCTCCTTCTGCTTCCTCTCGGCCACACTGCCTCCAGTTCCGTTGTTCAGATTTGTGCATCTTTTCTTATTTCTTTTCGGAACTCCTCATTGCAGATCCCCTTTTCCTCCTAATTTGCTCATTGAGTTTGTTGTCCATTGGGAGTTCAAACCTCTATGACGTTGATTGCCTCCTAACTTCTTCACTTATGGGTTTCACTTCTCATTTGAACCCCTGGGGTTCAATGGTCGGTTTGTGCTTTTTGGAGCTCCAATCATTAGGAGATTATAGTTCATTAGGTATTGGCTCAGTTACTTGCTTGTAAGATTTGATCAGAACTTCAAAATGTCTCTGAGGTTCAGAATTCATTCTTCTAGTGTTGACTTCTGGGCTAGTTTTTTTAAAATTATTTTTATCACTCATTTTTTTAAATATTTGAGCTCCAAATTCACTCCCTTGCAATTGCCCCTCCTCCATCCCTTGAGAAGGCAAGCAATAGGGTATCAATTATACATGTGAAACCATGAAAAATATAAGGAAAAAAAAGGCAAGAAAAATAAAGTTTAAAAGCCTGCTTCAATATGCTTTCAAAACTCATCTGCCTCTCCCTGGAGGTGGATAGTATTTTTCATTATGGGTCATTTGGAATTGTCTTGGATCGTTATGTTGCTGAGAATAGCTAAGTCCTTCACAGTTGATCATTGCTACAATGTTGCTGTTACTGTGCACAATGATCTGATTCTGCTCACTTCACTTTGCATCAGTTCACATGAGTCTCCCTAGGTTTTTCTGAAACCATCCCGCTTGTCATTTCTTATACCATCACAATCATATACCACAACTTGTGAGGTCATTCCCCAGTTGATGGGCATCCCTTCACTTTCTAATTATTTGCCAACACAAAAAGAGCTGCTCGAAATATATTTGCACACGTGGGTCCTTTTCTTTGAACTCTTTGGGATACAGACCTGGTAGTACTATTGCTGGGTCAAAGGGCATCATGTGGGGTTTTTCACTAAATTTCCTTCCTCTTGAAATCTTTGCTCCCGTCATGACTTTGCAAGAGCCAGTTCCCATGCCCAGAACACTCTCTTTTCTAACCTCTGACTCATAGAATTGTCTAAGTGACTTGGGTGGTAGCATGGAAAAATAGACAGAACACTGTATTTGAGTCAGGAAAACCAGGTGGGAATTCCACCTCCAGCCCTTATTAGCTGCATGACAAATGGATAAATCACTGAACTTCTCTAAAACTCAGTCTCTTTCTCTGTAAAATGGGAATAATAATACTCCAGGTACTTATCAAGACTTTGTGAGGATCAATCCACCACTTAATGAGCAATTATTAAGCACCTACTGTGTGGCAGGCACCATGGAAAGGAAATACTGCCTATAAAGTGCTGCTCAAACTTTAAAGTGTTATGTAAAAGTCAGTTTTGACTTTTATTGAGTATTTACTGAGGGGTATTGGCTCTCAGCAAATAGCAGAGAACATGTAACCCAGGAGTTCAGAGTTATACAGGACCTTTGTGATCATCTGATCCAAACATCTCACTGGACAGAAGGGAAGAGACTTGCCCAAGGTCATTCAGCCAGTGAATTGTGGCAAAGCCAGGGCTTGAAACTAGATCTCCTGACCCCACCCCCTAGTCCCAAGTTCATTCTACGATACTCTGTTGTGTTTCAGGGAAACAACAGTGACCAAGCCCAAAGCAAGTGTTGGAGTCATAAAGTATTTGACATCTTCTCTGTTACTTGGTCTTCACAACTACCCAATGGGATAGGAAGATGGGGATGCTGGGCGTTCCTCAACCCATTTTGGAGAGGAGGAAGCTATGGGTCAGGGGTGAAGTCTACTGCCCATGGACAAGGCTCTAGCAGGCCTCGGAGGTCTTCAATCTCTGTCTTTCCATATCTCCCCTTCACTGAAGTCACTGCAGATCCTAAGCACCAGGCAGCTTTCGAGGCAGCCAGGAGACTTTCCCAGAGATTAAATATGAAACATTAAATCCTTAAGACATTTAATCCTTTTGGTGGTTTTTTAAACAGACAGAAAGCTGACATGATTATAAACAATGAGCACAGTAACTTATGTACAGGTTGGAAATGTGGCCCAACCTTTCAATATCTATTTTCCAATATGGCTGGTCTTATGGTGTGAATGGGATGTGATCAGGAAAAGTACCAGAGTTTTGCACGGGATAATCCATCTACTTCAAGAAGGCTCAGATGATATTTCACCAAGGAGAGGACATGATGTTCTATAGATGCATGTAACATCTGAACTGGGAGAAATGTTAGAACACAGAACACTGGAACATAGAATGTTAAAATTGAATGGGGCCCTAGAACATGGAACATCAGAGCTGGGAGGGGCCTTAGAAGAGAGAACACAGGACCTAGAACATAGAACCGCAGAGATTGGAAGGGCCTTTAAATTTGGACCATGATAATGGAGCTAGAAGGGAGCTCAGGGACCACTGACTCCAAGTGTTTCCTCATGTAGTCTATGGTGAGATCCCACATGGTACCACCCGAGAGCTGAAGATGTTCTCATAGAAATCAATCATCAGCTCTGTGAACAGGTTGAGAGGCACCAGTGCGTTGAGAGATGAGGCTCCATTGGATGGCCAGATTAAGTTCAGCCCAAAGACACAGGCCAGGTTGGAGCCTGTCATTTTGTTAAAGATGCACTCCTGAGATACCTGGGAAAGAGCACAGATGAGGTCATGGTGTGCTGTCTGCAAAGGTTCAGGCCTCCTTCACCCAGGAAAATTCACTCCCTTCCAAACCTGTTCAAAATCCATTTCTGCCAAGAAGCCCGCCCTGGCCCAGCTCACCCAGTGCCAAGCATGCTCAGTGCAGTCTGTTGTCCCCCACCCCAATTTTAGATTGGAAGCTCCCTGTAGATAGGCCTGCACTGAATTGGGTTATATCTCTTTGCTAAGACAAGGGCCTTGCACATCAGACTTCTTACTCCAAGGGTCCCCTGAGTCCCCATCTGAGACTTAGACAGCTGGGAAGGCACTGGTGAAGTGTGAGCCCCCAGAATGCATACCAGGCCAACAATGCTGAAGAAGCCATGGCTTCTGGCAACAGAAAGGGGAGGAGGAGAGGGAAAGGAAGAGGAAGAGAACACCAGGAAAGGGACAGAGAAACAGACATACAGAGAGATAGAGACAAAAACAGGGACAGAGAGAGACAGACAGAGAGATAGAGACAGAAACAGGGACAGAGAGAGAGACAGAGAGATAGAGACAGAAACAGGGACAGAGAGACAGACACACAGAGAGACAGACAGAGAGACAGAAAGATGCCTTGCATATAACAGGAGAGGCAAAGGTGAACTGTAGAAGAAACCTAAGAGACAGAGAGGGAAAGAAAGAAGGAGGGAGGGCAGAGAGTGATGGGGAAGAAAGAAGAGGTAGATGAGGAGGAATGAAAAGGCAAGAAAAGAAAAGAGGAAATGGGGGGGGGAAGAGAATGAGAGAGGGCTGGGGGAGGCAGGGGAAAGCTCAGTGTTCCTTTTTCGGAGAAGTTATTGCCAAGTTCCTGCTAAGGGATGGTGGGTAAGGCAGTGATGGAGACAGACTGTTTGTTGTCTCCCCGTGTCTTCCTCCTCTCCTCTTTTCTTCTCCTCTCCTCCTCCCCTTCCCTCTCCTCTCCTCTCCTCCTCCCCTCCTCCCCTCCTCCTCTCTCTCCCTTCCTCTCTCCCCCCTCCTTCCCTTCTAACCCCATGTTGTTTCTGCTACCCAGCAGATGTTACAAAAAATGTTACCAGGATGTCTCAGCTTTGCCTATCTGGTCTTTGTTCTGGCCAGGCCTCCTCACTGCCCTCTACTCACCAGGTGTAGGAAGCCCATGAGGTATTTGAGAACAGCATAATTGTGTTCTGGAAGGCCCCCGACAATCTCTTTGCAGCGGGTCACTCGAAGGCTGCTCTCCACACCTGGAGGGACAAGGGTGGTCAAGAAGTCAGTCAATGAGCTCTTATTAAATGCTATGTGGGCCAGGCAGGCACAAAGCCTGGTCATTGATGATGCCAGAAGCAGCAGGACTCAGACACAATGTCTGTGCCCCGGACAGTAACTCACACAGGCACCCGCAGCACTCCACAGTCTCCCCAGGGCGTTTCCTCCACTCATGTTTTCTAGATCCTTATGCTAGTCCTTGGAAGTGGCTCAAAAGAAGATCCCACCCCCATTTTACAGATGAAGTTACCGAGGCCCAGGGTCACATAGCTAGTGATTGGCAAAGGCAGGATCTAAGCCAGTCAGCTGAGGTTCCTTTAGCAGAGGATGGAAGAAGGGCCAGGAAAACAGCCCTAGGCTCACAGGACAAGTGAGAGCTCCTCTTTAATCTTCACCCGCCTCAGTTTGCTGGATCTGAAATCTCTACCCAATCCCATCTTTCCTCCTCCTCTTTGAATCCTGTTGACATGGGGGGTCCTTGCCAAAGGCCCTGGCCTTGGAATCAGGGAGGCCAAGACAGGCTAGGGCAGATGCTGAGGATGATGGCCAGCACCCCACCGCCTCGCTTTGTATGGAGTTCACATCTGTTTACTCGTCTGTGCATTTGCTGATTCCCAGATCTGACTGATGTCTCCTGAGAGCAACATCAGCCTCCCTTCTGCCTCTGCGTCCCCAGGGCCCAGCGAGGGGTGAGGAGGTGGAGACCTGGGCACCCGCGAGTCCACAGAGGAGGGAAGAGGGAGAGTCAGCCTGGAGGAAACACACTCGGAGGTGGGGGGAGGGAACTTAACAGTTAGCCAATCAAAGGCAAAAGCTGCAGCCAGGAGTCCAGAGAACACCCAGCGTGACTCCTGAGATGTGCTCGGAGTCCCCAGGACATAGGCTGAGGCAGGCAGGGTTCGGGTGTGCCTGGAGTCCCCGGGCCACAGGGTAAGGCAGGCAGGGGCCAGGTGTGCCAGCCCAGCTGGCCCAGATGTGACTGACGCCCACCTGGGGCTGCCCCCCAGGAAGCACTCACTGATGATTGCCAGGATCTGTTCATACACTTCGAAAGTCAGCAGCGGCTGTGGCAGCTCTCGAAGGAATGTCTTCAGGATGACGGCTGGGATGTGGATATCACCGTAGTCATCGAAATTCACGGGCTTTCCTGTAGGACCAAAGAGGCCAAATCCCCCAGTGAGGTGAGTACATCATCAAAGGCACCCAGGACGGCTCCTCCCATCACGGCCATCCTCACCAGCCCCCGTGCCGCCATCCTACGCGGGGTCACTTCACAAGTAACATCAATGACGACTCTCAATCGCTCTTCACCTGGTGTCGGAGCCTGAATGGTCGCCCAGCTGGGTCTAGCGTAGACAGCCCTGGTCACCTTGGTTGAATGCCATTATCTCTGCACTAGTTTCTCCTCCTCCTCCATCGTCCAGGGTCGGCCAGTCTGACCCCACGCCGTCCTCAGCTTCTGACTCCTAACCACACGGCCTCTGACCTTTCTTTTGTTCCCTATCTCCTGGTCCCCTATCTGCAGCCTACAAAATGGCCCAGGTTCCCCCATCCTTTAAAAAACAAAGCAACAAGCCCTCCCATCCCTTCAAGCTGTATCACACACATCTCTCTTCCTTTTCTGTCAAACTTTGTGAAATTTCTGTCTATTCACTGCCTCCTCCTCCTCTGCCCTCACTCACTCTTCAGCCCTCTGTAACCTGGTTCCCACCATCATCACTGAAAGGAAATCATCCTCTCCCAAGTTACCAACGATGTCATAATTACAAAATAGGATGGCTTTTCCCTCAGTGCTTATCCTACAAGAGCTGTCTTCTGGGAGCGGCACGGTGCATCTCCTCTTCTCCTCCCGAGTACTCTCTCCTCCGGGTTTTCATGACGTGACTTTCTCCCGGTTCTCCTCCCACCTGTCTGACCACTTCTCACCACCCACACATGTTGACTGACCAACCACTTTTAGCAAGGGAACTCATCATCTCATGCGACACTTGCCACCACTTTGCAGTGCCCAGATCTGCCTCTGTGTCCCTTCCACCAGACGGGTCTGGTTCTGCCCTCTGAGGCTAAGCACAGTGTCGTCTCTCTTCCCCTTAAGGGCCATCTGATGATGGTGATGATGGGGCTTCTTTTGGCCAGCCTCTCCAGCCATCCCGCTACTGTCACATGGCTTGGATTGTGTTCACTGAGGATGAGAGGGGAGGGATACTCACCTTGGTTATACAGTCTCTGGATCTCTTTGACTGTCTGAACATTGGCTGACCGACGGAAAAGGCCCTCGGAGCGGAGGCCTGGGAGAAAAAGATACCTGGAGTGAGGGGGATGGCCACACCTCCCTGCCCACCCCACTGCTGGTCGCTGGCCAAGAAGGATGCTGAGGCCCAGCAGGGCTTCTGGGACAGCCACTGCATCCCTGACACCGTGACTGGGGTGAGGAGGAAGCTGGGCCCCGCATTGCCAAGAAAGTGACCTAACCCACCAAGGGAATGACTGTGACAAGGTCACACGTTCTGGGTTCTGAAGAGCCATAGGACGTCAGCAGAGCTCAGCGTGCTTCACATTGACTAATAACCACACCGGCCTAATCATCAACTGGGGAGCCCAAGGTAGGACATAGATGGTGAAAGGGGGCCGTGATGCCTTCATTTGCCGGAATGTCACAAAAGTCGAGAGATACTCCCAAAGTGGCGTGACTTTATTGGGGAAGGTCCTCCTCCTACCGGTGGAGACCCTGCCCCTGCAGACCTTGGATAAATCCTTTGTGGGTGACCCACCCAACACTCTGGAGGCCTCCCTCAGTCCCCAGTCATAGTATGGCAGAGAGAGAGCCAATCTCAGAGTTATTACTAATTGTAACAACAGTAATAATAGTGAACATTTGTATAACACTTAAAAGCTGGCAAAGTGCTTTACAAATGGGATCTCATTTGTTCCTCACGATAATCCTGGGAGGTAGATGCTGTTATTATCCCCATTTTACAGATGAGGGAACTGAGGCGACAGAGGTGAAATGATCTGCCCAGGGTCACACAGCTAGGAAGAATCTGAGGCTGGCTTTGAACTTGGGGCTTCCTGACTCCAGACCCAGTGCTCTGTGTACTATGGCACCCCCTAACTGCCTAAGGAAGACCTGGGTGCAAGTGTACCTCTGCTGCACGCCCACTGTGTGACCCTTGGCAGGTCCCCTCAGCTCCCCCTAAGACCCTGACTTGCAGAGTGGGTCTGACCTGTGTGGGTAGAGGGGGTTTCCTTACTGTCCTGAGAGAATTCCTGGTTGGGACCCATCTCCATGGGCATCCCCACGCAGGGTGCTGAGCAGCGGGCCACCAGCCTGATGGCACAAATATTCCTGATTAGAACTTTGCACAGCCCACTGGGTACACTGGGAATAGCTCTGGGCCAAGGGGCTGAAGGGTGCATTCAAAGCCGGTTCTGACCTTCTGTGACCTGGTGCCAGCCCCTTCTCTTGGGTTGGGACAAGAGGGTTTCTCAGGCCTCAGCCTGGGACTGGGGCTGTTTTCCCTGCTGGTCTTCCCTCTCTCCGAATCTAGGAGGGTCATTCTCCCTTGGGGCCCAGCTGCTCAGCCTCTCTACAGCCCTTTGCTGATGCAGGCACTGTCATGTGGGATGCTATGCTGTCAGCGCCTCCCTCCCCCTCTGCACAAAGTGATTTGGGAGCCAGCAAGCCACTCCCAAGGGAGGATGGGGCCTGTGGTCCTCAGGGGGCTCTGGTATAGACCAAAGGCTAAGAACTGGCAATCCAGAGACAAAAACTCTGCCACATAGAAGGAGTTTAATAAATGTTGCATTTGGAATGGTGGGAAAGGCTGTCCGAGATCAATGAGTCCTAACTCCCATCTGACTGAGGAGGAAACTGAGGCCCAGAGATGGGAAGGATCTCGCTGAAAGTCATACACAAAGTCAGTGACTTACTCTAACTACCTCCTGATGCACCCCAAAGCTGGAACGACCCCCATATCGGCATTGCTTCTGGCCTGGAAAAGGGATAAGCCTTCTTGGAGTGAGAGGAAGTGTCCATCTGGATAAACCCAGAGCTAAGAGATCACCAAGGCAGTGAGGTGGGGGTGGGGATGGGGCAAACAGGTCCCTAAGGAGAGCAGAGAAAGGGCACCACTCAATGTTGAGCTGCCTTCCCTGCTCTGGATCCAAAATCCCAGAAAAGATCATCCCATGGCAGGGGTAATCTGCTCAGAGATTTACTCAAATCCCCATCTGCAAGGCAGGGGGGCAGGGCACTGCTCAGTTGTCCTGCCATAAGCTTTGATTTTCTATGTGCTGAAATTTCATCGAGTTCTGACCTGCCCTGTTCTAAGCTCTTTCCCAGCTCTGACCTGCCCTGTTCTAAGCTC